TGGCGTTGTCCTGCCTGAGTGAGGCAGGAAGAAGTTCATTTCTCCTGATAATGGAGCAATAAATTCTCTTTCTCTGAAAGATTTAGGTGTCCTGTGGCTGCTATCTCAGTGCAAGTCCTTTCTTTAGAAAAAAAAGTATCTTACGTAGCATAATTTCTATTTTAACATTATGTTATAACCCTAAACTATATTTAACACACTACTTAAGAGTATTAACACAGCATAACTTTCTAACACAACACATACAATATTCATTTCAATATTTGAGAAAAGCCAACCATAAAATACGCATTTTTCACAGGCATGGACACGTGGCATGCACATATCCCTTCCCTCCTGGCCCCCAGATGTGCATTAGGCTTCAGGCAGGTCACAGACACCAGGTCCCCAGAAGACACAGGATGATGTCTCAGTCCATCCTGCCTGCTCTGCAGGGCTGAGCAATGTCCCCTAGGGGCTGAGCAATGTCCCCTCACTGCTCAGCCCCAGGGCACAGCAGGGGCACAGCCTGGAACGGATCACTGGGATCCTTGGCTGCCTTTCCTGGCTGTGCTGAGCTGCAATCTCAGCCTCGCTGCAGCACAGGGCGAGGCTCAGCCAGGAATGCGTGGAGGAGGCTCCCAGGGAACAAAACTGGTTCCTTTGTGCTCGGGGAGGAGTGCAAGCTCAGGCAGATGTGGGTGCAGTGCAGGGAGTGCCCTAAATCACAGTGACTTGCTACAGGTGTCTTTGCAGAGCCGTGTGTTCCTGTTCCCTGAGCAGGAGCTGGCACAGGGAATATTAACCAGTTAATTCTGCCATTCTTGTGGGATAGCAGGAAGGGAGGAGATGATGGGATAACCCAGCTCAGAGGGCACTGAGAGCTGGGAAAACCAGCTTCTTTCTGACCTGTTTTACCACTGAAGGAAGGCAAAAGTTGCAAGATAAGCATCCAGAGGCCTTTTCTCAGTGACATTCACTGTTTCCTCTGCCAGCTCAGACAGGGCAGATGTGTGCCGTGCCTGTGACAGCCACCTGCCTGAACAGAGACAATTCTCAGCACGTAATTCAGCGTCCTGTTTTCACTTGTGTCTTCTGTGGGTCTTTTTCTTGTAAAATGTTAGCCAGATTTATTCTCTGTCATGCTGGCATGAACACAAAGTCAATCTGTTGACTGTAGAATTGCTCTGCATTTATCCATTAATTTCTGTATTTTACATAAGCCTAAGATTCAACTCACTGGTGAGGAAATGCTGTCAGACACTGACTTCCACTGCTGATGGTCCTGATGCTGGATGGGATGAACAGTGACAGTCTAGACAACTCATCTCTGAAACACAGGGAAGGCTGTCTTGCCCAACCAGTCCAAAACATGACAGGGAGTAATAATTTTTTAAATGAATCTTATAATAAAGAAAGAATGGATTGAGGAAGGTACTTGAGGATTGTAGTTGTTTTTTTATTAAATTGTTATGATTTTTTTCTGTTTTGTTTTTACAACTGGATTGGTTGTGGCCCATCTAGCTTTATAATGCAGCCTACACCATATTAATTATGTGTCTTCAAGGATTCAAGTGATTACAGTGACCATGCAAGTATTTTCCCTTCTCCACAGAAGGAGGTATTTTTGCAGTACAGGATCTTGCTTCAGTAGATGTTTTGGATTTGGTTTTTTTTTTGCCTGTTACTTTAGTTTGGACTGGGGAAAAGGTTCTTCTTCAATTCAGTACATGCTGACCAGGACCTCAACTCCATGGGAAGAGAGTGTATAAAATAACAAATGGCAGCTCTAGCTGTGCTTGAGAGGGTCACCAGCACTGAACTGATCCCCTGTCCCTCCCACTGGATGCCCCTTGGCAGGGCTGCCCCATCACCCCTACAAAAAGCCAGCACCCTGCAGTGATCAGCAGCCCCAGCACAGCTGAGCCACCCTTGGTGCTCATGGGGAACATTCAGGACAACTAATTTTCCATGAAACATGGTAATGAATGTGTCTCCCTTCAAGTACACAGAGATGCTGGAGGCCACTGACTTTGACAGCTGTGGAATTTCTTTCCCTGAATGCATCCTTAGCCAGTGTGTCGATGTTACACAGTTAGGACAGCTCCGTGCCCTTCTCTAAGTGTCTGTCCTCACTTTATTTCAGGCTAAATACGTTTTGCAGTGGATATGTGCCCCTCCTAAGTGGAAGATCCTGTTCATTTTAATGGCTCCACTCCCTTGAATAAGGACAAGACAAAAGTTGGCTGGATCAACTGTTTGCCCTAACCCAGCCTGTTTCAGTATCCTTAAGCACTGCAATGATTTTCTCTGGAAGCAGGAAGCCTACATTTAAATTAAGGACATAGCTTAAGGAGAAGCAAGATGTTTTAACACCCAGCACTGGAGTTTTACTTGAAGAATGTGCACTGAGAGAGTCAGAGTGGAACGATCTTTTTGTTCTCTCTGTACAGCACCTAAGGCAGCGCTGCCAAAGCCACAGAGGAGGCTCCTCAGCAACTACAGCAGCACTAATGCCCAGGGTCTGTGTCTGTGAAAGCAACTTTTCTCTTCTCTTGCTTCCATCCTTGTCCCTGGACTGGACTAGCAACCTGTATGGGTTGTGTTTTCCATTTAGGCTGGCCTCAAACACTTGGTTTCCCCTTGATTGGAAACAAGTGTGCTGAAAGCTGTCTGCTCTTTCTTCACTACACAATGTGGACTGCTGCCTGCCTCCTGTCTGGAAACAATTATTTCCCTCATGTACCTACTGGTTCTGAACACTCAAAGACTTACCCCTAGACATTCTTTTCCTCTTTGCACCTTTATTAGCCCCTTCCTTTATAAACAGAACTTGCCATTGTATATAATGCTCACAGAACAGCTCTAGCTCTGTTTCTTGACAAAATTGCTGCCATGTTTTAAGGCCAGATCTCCCCTGAGGGAGTTTTGTATCTGTGAACGTGCCGTGGTGAATTCACCACTCCTTTGTCTCTTCTGAGAGGATGAATTTTTGATGGTGTTTGAATTTGTGGGACTTAAAGAAAGGGTGGGACTTCAAGCACCCATTGTGGATACAGTGGTGTAAATATTCTTCAGCAACCCCAAAGAATGGTCAAAACATCAGATGTGCAGTAATGCCTCCAAGTATTTGCAGATGCTATCAGCATAGCATAATGCAGCTGTTTTAAAAAGGAACGTACCTGTTTATTGGCCTGTATTCCTGGATTTATTCTTTCTTTCAAATGTTCCTGCTTTTTGATGGTTGTATGCAGACACGAGGGAATATGAGCAACAGAATCTGCAGATATTTTCACACAGGGGTAAGCTTATGCCTTGAATAGTGCCATTATACTGAGCAGGGTCACTTTTCTCAGAGATTGATCTCATACTTTATTTCACAAAGACTAGTTCCCGACTAAGCACAGACTGTGAGGAAACTGACTGGAGTGGAAAGAGTCTATAAATTTCTTTTCCTGCACTGAATTCAAAATAGCGTTTCTCTTACTGGAAAAACAAACATAAGCTCATTTTGGGTGTCTCTGCCTGCCTGCCTGTGGGATTGGTAGTCCACACCTTCTGCCAATTCAGAGACCTCTCTGCCCCCGTTTATGCTCTAGAGGTTATGTCTTAATTACAGAAAAGCTGATCTGCTGTGACATCAATTTCCCTCTCTAGGGGAAATTCCTAGCTGTGAAATCCTAGCAGAGGCAAGTTGCTGTTCTTTTTTCTTTTTCTCTTTTTTTTTTTTTTCCTTTGGCCAGTCCAGACCAACCCCAAAACTGCCACCTCGGTTTGACCTTGACTACTGCTTTGAGAGTGAATCGGAGAGCCTGCTCTCTCTCCTAAAGTGCTGACATACAGACAACTATTTCCAATGGGTTATCTTGATACAGAACTCGGGCTGTATCACAGCCAAGAGCCTGCTTCTCCTGCCAAGCAGCAGGACCCGAGCCTGGGGGCAGCAGGGGATGAGAAAGTGCTGTGAATCAAAAAGGATGGGCAGCGTCCTGAAAGAGGACACTGCAGCTCTGCCAAAACCTGGGGCAACATCACAGCAAGTCAAAGTCTCTCTAGAGAGATGTGGGGGTCATCTTACCTCCCTTGGGATGTGCTCACCCACAGCCACGCAACCTGGCAGGGAGGGCTTTGTGCCAGGCTCAGGCTCGTGTGAATGAGATGACCAGCACGCAGAGAAGCAGCAGGACCGAGCCGTGCTGCCGGGGAAGGGGGATGCCGGGGGACATGGCTGTGTCCGAGCCGGCTGTGTGGGGAGGTGGGCGGCCTCAGGCTGCGCGCTGCTGGCACTGCTGGCATCACCCTTTGCCTTGACCGCTGTGCCCGGGGAGGGCTCCGGTGGCCGGCAGCGCTGGGGCCGGGATGCGGAGGAGAACCGGGGGATGCGGAGGCGAGCCGGGGATGCCCCCCCGGTGCCGGGGCTGACCCGGGGCTCTGCCGGGCCCGCACTGCACGCCGCGGCCGCGGGTGGAAAATGCCTTGTGTGCCTTGAAGCCACAGCCCAGCCACCAAAGCACGGCGACGGCGTTGTTTGTTTTTTTTTTCTTCTTAGTTAACAATGGAAACTTTTTTTTTTTCAGTATTTCCCTCCAGCCCGAGCCGAGCGAGAAGAGAAAAAAAAAAAACTTGTTCCGCTGAGTTCAACCCCAGACAGACTCACAACTTCCTTCCTGCTCTCCTACCCCCCTCCCTCCGCTCTCCTCCTCCTCCTCGCCGCTCCTCTCCCTCTCCTCCTCCTCCTCCTCCTCCTCCTCCTCCTCCTCCTCCTCCTCCTGCTCCTGCTCCTGCTCCTGCTCTCTCCGCCTTTCCAACCGCACCGGGAGCGGGCGCCGGGGCCGCGGCGCGGAGCTGCCCGGAGCGCGGAGCCTCGGCCGCCGCGGCGCGGAGGGGCAGAGCCCGGCGCGGCCGGCCCGCCCCGGGGCGAGGAGAGGCGCTCGGGGCCGCGGAGGGAGCGGGCGGGAGTCCCGGCAGCCCCGCGGCGATGGTTTCGGCAGCGCCCCGCGGCCGCCGGCGGGCGCAGCCGGGCGGCGCGCACTGAGGCGGGCGCGGATCCCGACCCAGGTAAGCGGCGGTGAGGGCGAAACGCAGAGGGGTCGCGGCCGCCCCTCCGCCCGGGGATGTCCGGCAGCAGCCCCGGGGGCGGTGCGGGGGCCAGCCGGGCCGCGCGGGGAGGAAGGGGCGAGCTGGGGGCGGGCAGAGGGGCCGGGTGGTGCCCCGGGCTGTCCCACAGCCGAAGTGTGGCCGAGCACCTTGTGCCGGTGCTCGCTTGGGCAGCCGAGCCCCAGTGCTGGGAGCTGTGCCGGGGATCCCTGCAAAGAGCGGCTGTCCGCGCTGCTGGGCTCTGCTGAGCCTCGCACTGCCTGCAAGCAGTGCCTGGAGGGATGGGAAGCCCTTTGGTCACATCGCCAGCTGGGGCTGCGCTTGGGCTTGAGGGCATTTACCTGCCAGGAGCCTCACAGGGATACCGCTGATAGCATCGCACACGAGTGCTTCCAGAGGCGTGTACACCCATAGCCAGAGTTAGCGCACTGTGTGTAAACAAGTTTGTACTCTCATGTGGGCAGTGTGTTTGTGCAGATCTCAGGAGCGCCCATGCCCCGGCATGGGATGGGGCCTGCAGCTCCAGGGCACATGGAGCAAACAGGAGGTGATGGAAAGCACAGTGACACGAACAGGGACACAGAGAGCCACCTCCGAAAGCAGAGCCTCTCTCACGTGTGTACACAGGCACACACTCGGCAGAGCAAACAGCACTGCACATCTCTGCATGTGGGGTTCCAGGCTGTGCCTTGAAGGCATTTGGAGCCTGCATTGTCCCGGACAGCGGATGTGCACAGGGAAGGCACATTTAGCCAGGGCATTCATGAAGATGTGCAAAGCCGTGCTGTTGCACATGGTAACTTAGGGGACTAACTGGAGATGTGACCCTGTACCATACAAAGCAGTACAAACAGGGAGTCGTCCCATGTACCATACAGCATAAATCCATTCCTGAGACTTGGTCTTGCTATAGGTGATAGACTGAAGGGTGGCAAATTTAAGTTGTTTGGAGTTTTTATCTTCCTTTAGAAAATGCCAGGTTTTGGGGCGAACACTTGAAAGCTGCCAACTTTAAGTTCACACCAGTTCACCGTAATTCTCTTATTCTGTTGTGGGGATGGCTGCTGGCTGTGTGTCCTCTCGGACATTGCTGTGTCAGGCAACCTGGAGAGAGGGGACAGGGAAGGCAGGGAAGAGGGGAAACAGCCGCAAACCTGACTTCCCTTTCCTTCAGATCCTTGTGACGGCTGGCCCGTGTCCCCACGGGTGGCACACTGGGCATGCATGCAGGTGGGAGGGCCGCACAGGAAGGGAAGAGTCTGGCACTCTGTGTGCCCAGCTGCATGGTGAGCTGAGGGAGGGCACAGAACTACTCTCACTGCTTCTCTCTCCTCAGCTGTCCCGTTTTATGGAGCTGCGGGCCAGCGGGGCCAGCCCAGCTCCCCGTTCTCCTGCTGGCCATGCTGCTGCTCCCGTCGTGCCGAGAGCCCCGCAGAGCCTGAGCGCCGAGGCGGCAGTGGCGACAGCCCCCCTGTGCTCCCCGGCTGACTACTATGGCCGTGTACTGCTATGCGCTCAATAGCTTGGTGATGATGAATAGCAACAGCGAGGTGACCAGCGGCGGGAGCAAGACGCCGCCTCCTCCCGGACAAGTGCTGCCCAGGGGTCCGGAGACGCCCGGCGGCTGCCGCTCGCTCCCCGTCTTCAGCCCGGCCCCGGTGCCGCCCCGCTCCCCGCGCTGCGGGCCCGCTTTCCTCTTCCCGCTGCCTGAGGAGCCCCTGAGGCAGCCGGGCAGCCCCGGCGGGCGGCGGGGCAGCCGCGGCGAGGAGGGACAGCCAGGGCCGCCCATGGCACGGCAGCTCCAGCGGGAGCTGCACAACGTGCAGGTGAACCAGAAAGTGGGGCTCTTCGAGGCACACATCCAGGCGCACAGCTCCGCCGCCCAGCCGCCCCGCAGCCCCCGGCTGGCCCGGCCCCGTCCGGCCAGCCCCACCGCGGCACCGGCGCTGGCACTCGGGACTGCGCCCCGGCCCCGAGCCCTCGGGGAGAGCGAGGCCCCCGATGCTGGTGGGGAGCAGCTTTGTGTGAGCGCTGCAGAGCCCGCCAGGAGGCCAGGGATGGCGGTGGGGCTGGCAGACAGCAGCAGCAGCCCCCTGGAGCAGTGCGGGCCTGACGCAGCACGGCAGGAGGAGGTGGTGGTGGTTCCCACAGGACTGAAGGGGCAGCACCCAGCCGTGAGTGGGAGCATCCCTGCCGTCATTGTCACAGACCTGGGGGGCCCGGAGGAGGAGGCGGGCGCCGTGCCCCCTGGCAGCCTGCCCGTCCGGAAGCTCTCATCGTCCTCTGCATCTTCCACTGGCTTCTCCTCGTCCTGGGAGGAGTCCGAGGAGGACATCTCCAGCGACCCCGAGCGCACCCTGGACCAGACCCCCGCCTTCCTGCAGACCCTGGACCAGCAGAAACCCCGAGTGGTGAGTCCTACAGCAGCCCTGGGCAGGTGGGGTGAAGGGTGGCGGCGTCCCTGCTCCAAGGTAGCAGCAGGGCACAGGTCTGTTGCTGCAGAGTTCTGCAGAGAAACTTTACACTTGCTCAGTGGTGCTTGCCTTCCCTTACACGAAAAGCTTCCAGACTGGGAAGAGGAGTTTCTAGCTGGAAAATCCTCTCACAAGAGAGTAGTGGTACCTGTTCCATTGTGCACAGTCCTTGCAGAAAATCCTCTCACGAGAGAGTAGTGGTACCTGTTCCATTGTGCACAGTCCTTGCAGAGCTTCCCTGGTGCTGCAAAGCTGCCTGCCAGCATGCTTAAAATACATCCATGGACTTCAGCCTTCTGCTGACATGTGGTTACGAGCCTCACTTTCTCCTCAGCACAGCTTCCCTGGGTGCTGGAGGTTTCCCATTGTTTACATGAGCCTGAGGAAGAATTTATTTCCTCCCTGGAGTTGAAACTGTGTGGGCCAACTGTCTGTTCAGGTTTACAGTGATGCCCATCACCACAATTTCACACAGAAGCAAAATGCTCTAGAAATTCTGGTGATTCCCCTTTTGAATAATACTTCTTGGTTGTGGGGTATCTTATATTTCAGGTAAGCCATATTTTTTTTAGGTATTTATACTAAACTCATTTGTTTCAGGATCTTTGTTGTGGAGCTGGTTGTGAGGCTTAAGGCGAGAGAAATCACCGCCTTAGTTGATTTGTGTTTCCCTTAGAGAAGAAAGGTCTCCTCAGAGAGGAGAGCTCTGAGGCATTCTCCAAAGGCATGAGACAGTCATGGGATTTGTTGTGTCACTGGGGGAGTTCATTGCATGTGTGAGTGCATCACACAGAGCCTGCTTTGCTCTGAGCTGTCACACCACTTGTCCAGAGGGCTTTGAACCACTTTAACCCAGAGCAGGGCACCCATCACGAGGCTCTCCCACCAGCACATGGTCTCTGCTCTCATCCAGCTCTGAGACATTCCATTGATGTGAGCCCAGCACTGGAGCATCCCACTGACAAACCTTGAAACATACCGGACAACCCAGTGACTCCTTAGTTTAAAGAGTTTAACAAAGGCTCATGAACTTTCAATGGTGCATTTCACTATGTTTAATTTCCTGTAGACCCATGGTGGTGAAACTCCTGCTAAATGCAATGACACAAGGAAAACTAGTGCAGGGAAACATCTAAGTGAAGGCATCAAACTTGGAAGAACTGAGACTGTGGTTTGTAACACACTCAGCAGGCTGAAATAAGTATCTTTTCTTTTGCACTCCTTTTGTTCTATTCCAAGAACTCAGGCTTGGTTCTGCTCAGGATGGAGCAGCAACTGAGTAAAAGCAGTTAACAAAGTTATGAGCCTGTAGTTCATCGTGTTTGCAGACAGTTTTGTATTTTGGGGCTCTCAGCTGATGAATCAGCTTGTTCCCTTTGGGAGCTACTACAATCCCTCTGCTGATTAAATTCTGCTGGTTTTATGTGCATGAGCTGTAGTAATCTCTGCTCCATTCTCTGCGCTGATGACTGTTCCTAGTGCCAGATCCCACTGATTTGCTGCTGCAAACAGTTCATTGATGGGCAGAAGCATGCCTGATGCTCCCGTGGAAAGCTTCCTGGAGCCTCAGGCTGACTCTGCACAACCTCCCGTGGCCTCCATGAGCTCAGCCAGGCCAGTGGCTCAGCAGTGAACGGGCAAGGCTCATTTGTACTGCTAAAAGCTCTGGATGAGAGCGAGCTCAGATCAGGTCTAAGATCAGAGTAACTGCTGGGCTCCGTGGGACTGCTCAGGCTAAACGAGATGAAGATGTGGTCCAAAATGTGTCAGGCAGCCTAAGGAGGTGCACTTGATTTTGTGTTTCAGCGCTGGAGTCCCAGCAGGGGCAGCAAGGCTAATTTACAATGATAGTTTCCACTGGGCTCCACGGGTCCCATGCAGGGCTGATCACTGACTTTGGCAGGTTATAGTCAACTTCTCAGCAGGATCATGTGCAAATGCCCAGTAATTCAAAATTGATTTCGTATAAATAACACCCAGCTTTGTGTGCTGGTTGGCAGCATCTTGTAAATCCATAACGCCAGCAGAAGGCAGCTACTGAGGCAGTGTCAGGTTGCACACTCATTTGTTTTCATGAACTCACTGTTTCCTTTCAACAGCGCACACGGTCTGGAAATGAGTTGTGTAATGAGGGAGAATGTGTGAGAAGCTCTCTCCACAACTCGTGCTTTTAGTCAAATCCTGGGAGATCTCAGCCCAGAGATACCAAGGTGCCTCTGGGTGGGTTGAGTAGATAAAGGCAGGGCAGGCAGAGAGCCCTGCCTGTCTGTCTGTCTGTCTGTCTGCCCTGGGCACTGCTGGCACAGGGGAGGCTCTGTACCTGCAGGAGAGGTAATGAGGAGCAGCAGGAAAGCAGTTCCTGCTGCAGATACAGTCTGTGCTGCACATCTCACATGTTTACAGATTTGATAAACAGCAGGCCTGCTCCTGCCCTTCCTTTCTGGAGGCTGTCTGCTTTGGCAAATCTGTTAGGGATGTCCGGCGGTGTGTTGTGGTTCCTCCTGACATCCCAGGGAAACAGGCAAATCCCTTCGGCTGGCATGGACTCATCCTCCACTTGTGCTGCAGGTAGGAAACTTTGTGTTCAGGCCTGAAAATTGGCCAGTAAGAAAATCATGTTGCCAAGTGCAAGGGAAGGAGGTATTGTGGCCACAATTTTGGACGCTGTGACCCGGAGCAGCTCTGTGAGTGAAACGGGCTCTGTGTCTGTTTGCTGAAGCAGTTTGCTCAGTGCTGTCCCTGTCCCTGCACAGCACCAGGGGACAGTGACCCTGCCATGCTGGTTGCAGACTTGTCAAGTGCACTGACAGTAAGAGCACGGTGACGTTTTGCTGTTTAATTGCAAATCCACTTAAGGTCTGAGTAAACTTCCACGTAAGGGCTTTGCAGCTGTGGCTTTCCCCGGGCTGTGGGCTGCTGCCGGAGAAACCCCACGCTTGTTTGTTGATGGTTTCAGAGACACTCGAGCGATTGCACCTCTGGGGCTGCGTGGGAGGGACGGGCTGTCCGGGCAGCACCTTGGCATGGGGACACTGTGGTTGGGAAATGCCACAGGGGAGCACCCTGTGCACACCAACACGGGCAGTTTGGGTGAGGAGCTGACCTGAGGCTCACCAAACACCCGAGGCAGGAGGATGCAGAGACTGCTGGAGGGCACCTGCCTCCATCACTGTCTCATGCTGAGGGGGAGAATTTCTCCCCTCCTGGCTGATCACACAGGTTGGATGTGTAGGGAAGGGAGAAGGTGCTCCTTTGTCCCAGGTTCTGAGTGGCACGTAGCCTGAAATGGCAGCCCAGTCTCCTGAGGAGATTTCACACCTAAAACAAGATACCTTCTAGCTGTGACTCCCGCTGACTTCTCGACTTTGAAAATAGCAGAGTGTGAGCTTTGCCATTCTGGGGGCTCTATTGGCTCTTCCCAAGGATGTACTCTGCAGCAGGAGACTTGTCCCACTCTTGGAGCTTGGCTGCGCCCCTTCAGCAAAAGCTGTTCCAAAGCTGGTCATTAGCGAGCCCTTGTCATTGACCTAAATTCCCCAGTTTGTCAGCTTCTCCAGAAGTGGAGACAAAGCAACAGACAAGTGGGGGGAAAGGCAGGAGCTGTGCAAGCAAGCACGTACCATAGAAAAATAATGGCATATTGAGGGGGAAAGGAACCCCTTCCTGGAAAATCAGTGCAAGACACTGGAGTGTTCCTCTTCCTGGCTTTCCCACAGCTGCTGTGGAAACACAAGGATGTACAGCAGAATAGTAATCAAGGGACTTGGTGCTCTGTGAAACTTCTGCTCCCTTCAGCAGGCTGAGTAGATTTCTCAGAATAAGAGACTTCCATTAACCTGTGCGAAATGGCAAGGACTTTTGGAAAAGGCTAACAGCAGTGCTGATGACAGGCATTCTTTTAATTGATTTATTTGTTTGACTCACAATGGCTGTTAATGCAGTCCTGAAAGCAGCCAAGTTTAGATAGGGTTAGTGTCAGCCAAGGGCCTCTGGGACCTTTGCTTATTTCTCTTTGAGATGTTCCAAGGCATGAGCTGACAACAGGAGTCCTGATTTGTTCCTATAAAAATCAATCAAATTAAATATGCTTTCATTCCCTTTCCAAGCTGTCTCTGTGATCAGGAAGTCTCCCTGTAACAGAAACCATGACCACATGGCTGTGGTGATACATGCAAGCCCTGTGAATATATTTCTTTATGCCAAGTGTGTTTATGTGTTTCACTCCTTACTCCCACTGTGTTTGTCTTAAAAGCTCCTGAGCTTATGAGCCTGTGAGTGGTATCTCTGATTTAGCATCAATATAATGCCTGGTGTGTTAGGGCCCTGCTGGTTTACTCAGGAGAGCGACTGTTCTTTTATAATGCACATCATTGAAAGGGAAGATGCTCAGCACACCTGGTAAGGGATGGAGTCTCCCTGCTGCAGGATTACCATGGGGCAGAGGGGAATGAGGTGGGCAGGTGTGTGTTTCCCCTTTCAGAGCAGCAGGCCTGGCAGCACAGCTTGTTCTGGGATGGGATGGGGACACCCTGGTGCTCACAGGGCTGGGCAGAGCTTCAGGCTCTTTGTGCATGGAGCCTGTGCACCCAGGGACTTCACAAAGCACCACTCCCTATTCCACAGCTAATCCTCTACCTGCTCATGTCACCTGCTCAGGGAATAAGCAGCTTTTTATGGGCTCCCACCCGCGGAGGCCAAGGGAAGATGCTGCCACAACCCAATGGGAGACATATGGTGCTGCTTAAAATCTGTTTTCATCAGCACTTTTAGGCTCATTGGGAAGGGTTTCTTCTCTGTGCACATTCTCCATGATTGACAGGGCAGGAATTGCATGGCACATAGCAGATCCTTTTCATAGAGGGACTCACTTGCTAGCACAGCTGCTGTCTCTTGCATATTTTGTTTCTCAAAAAAAAAATCTCATGCTGAAAGCGTCC